TTGCGGTAAATTAAAAAATAATAGTATTTTATTGATTAGTAGAAGTGTTTAAGAAATTTTGACATTTTTACCCTAACTTATGTATAAATAAGTGTATGGGTAATGATTGTAATTTAATAAGTTAACGGTATTTTAGTTTTAGTATATGATTATTTTTTCTAAAATACGAAAGAGATACTTTGAAGTAGGATTGACGAAAATGGTAAAAAAATACTTTAAAATGAAATAGAGGGAGTATTTGATTTGGTATTTTTTTTAAAAAAAAAAATAATCAAAATTTTGTGAGAAATCTATAAATGTATCATTTTAATTTTTTTTAAAAAATAATAAAAAATTAATTATTTAATTTGATATTATTTATACAGATATATCTAATAAAATTAACTTTCTAGATTTTATCATAAAAAAAAATATTGAAATGTTTTTTTAATATCTATAATAGAGTATATATTTTTTATAACGTGAGAATCTTATATTAGTAAAACAAAATGAGTAACTAAAGTAAGTTACACTAGACGAATAGGTATTACAAACAAGATTTAGAGATGTCATTAATTTGAACATATAACATAAAAGTTACAAGTTTATCTTGCATCATTATTTTATTTAGACCACAAAATAGTATGTTTTACGCAAAGGAAGTTGGAAAAGAAAAACTGTGACAACAAAATTATATATGGGTGTAAGCATTAAATTTGATCCGAAAAATCGAACCCGTTCGACCTGATCGTTTAGGTGTTTCGAATTTTTAAAATTTCAGATCATTTCGAACTCGAAATGAAAAAAAAAAAAAAAAAAGTTAGATCAGATCAAGTTTTAGGTTGACTTGATAACCCGAAAATAAAATCCAACTAAACTTTAAAATTTCAAATTGTAATATATGATAATAAAATAATATAAAAAAGTCAAAATTATAAAAAAATAAATAATAGGGTGTGTTTGTTTGGGGGCTTTGAATTTTGAGTTGGGATTTGAATAGTAAAAATTTTGAATTTGAATAGTTGTATAATGTGATATAAATAGGTGTTGATGTGATGTTTTGAATGTAAAATAGATTTTTAGTATAATATAAAAAATAAAAAATAGGTGTTTGATTTGATGTTTTTAGGGAGAAAAAATAAGATGAATAGTGAAAATAAAATCCAATCCCCCCAAACAAACACACCCTTAAGTATCATAATATAAAATCAAGTTTTCTAATTTGTTTCGCAAGGATTTTTTTTTTTTTTTAAGTTTTCAAGTATATTTTGTGTCAGTTTTTAAAATTTTTGGTATATTTTATATCAGATTTTTCGAGTTCGTTCGGATTATCAAGTGATTTAAAATAAAATCAAATTGACCTAAGCCTAACCTAAAAAATTTAGTATTGTAGCGTTGTTTAAGATTTCAGATTGAAAATCGGATTCAAGCTCAGGTCCGATTAGGATGGTTGAAAATCGGGTTCGAATTCGGTGCGAATTCAAATTACCATTTTTTTTTATTATACTCACAGTTTAACCAACCACAAACACGACTCTAAAACACATATGAACACCCTAATAATACATGTCACCTGCAAACTTCGGGCAAGAGCTGAGGCTGGATCTGATCGGACATGGTCAACGATACGGTCAACGTGTCCCTCCAATTGGCGGCTCGCGATCGATACAGATCTACGTTGCTCGAATACTTCACTTGCTGCATCATATCCCGCGAGTGAAGCGCCGTCTTCTTCTCCGTCTCCTGCTCGTGGAACTCCCGGGCTCCGCCCAGCATAAGCTCCAGGACCTCCGCCGGAATTCCGTGGTTCACCACCTGGAAAAATCCCCACTCCCTCGACGCCTCTCCCACGTCGCTCACGATTTTCCGGCGCCGATCGGATTCGATTCCGGCCAGGTCGATCACCGGGACCTCCGCATCGCCGCCCTGGATCGGGTCGCCGGCGCGATCTTCCGGCGGCCTGATGAAGATTCTCGGGACGGTTCGGATGCCGGAATCTACTAGGCCTTTGACGCCAGCCTTAGATTCCTCGAAGGCCTGGAGCTCGGCTAGTCGGCCGGAGTCAACGGCGCCGGCGGGGGTCGGCAAACACTCTCTTAGACTGGAGAAATTCATTTTGGTTAGAGAGAAACTTAAGAAGGGCTGATATCTTTTTCTCTTTTAAATTGTTGAGTCGTTTTATTAGGATAATAATTAATTACCACAAGAAGAATCCAAATAAAATTAAAATAATATTAAATCGAATCCAAATTAAAATTAACATACTATATAATTTTTAAAAACAATGTGTAATTATATATGTTTAGGTTATATTGTAAAAATAAATTAAAGTTGTGGTATAATTTATAAATACAAAAAGTTATATAAAATAATATAAAAGAGAACTATATAGGTAATATATATATATTTTTTTGACTAAAAATTTAGTAAAATATGTACTGTAGCTACTGTAAAAATAAACTAATGGGTTGGAGATGGTCTCAGTGAGATGCAATTTTAGATTATTTCACAAAACCAATTGGCGACGACATTGAAGGACGATTCAGCCAATGATTTCAATGACCTTCCGAATCGATGACTAGCAACGAACTGACGGATCATTTTCTCCAGGCAACCTGCTCTTCTGGCGGACATCCTCCTGACAGATAGCAAGGTGTAAAATGGTCTAAGGTAATCACGCCGCAAGATATGAGCCCCTGAGCCTCGACACCCACTAAAATCAACCATAAAAAAGAGCTTCTAAACCTCGATGGAAAATTCAATCGGAACCTCCTGATACTTCACCGAGAAACCTCTCATTTTTCTCTCCCTCACTCTCAAGGTTTCACTCTCTTGAAAAATAACTGTGATATTCCAGCCTGCAAGTCTGACGTTTCTATCATCACTTACGCGCACCTAGGAGACTTTCCAGGGTTATCCATACTCAAATTACTTTAGAACACTTAACTTTAGAGTTCTTTCAATATAACTTTTCAAAAAAAAAATGTACACATTGTTGACATGAGTAGTGTATTCAATCTATTTAACCACTTATTTAACATCGAAGGGATTAAATCCTCTCAACTCATATCACTATTCAATTCCGGAGTATTACAATAACTCACATTTCTAAAATCATTTATCTAGGGTGTGTTTGTTTGGGGATTTGGATTTTGAGTTGGGATTTGAATAGTTGTACGATGTGATATAAATATGTGTTGATATGATGTTTTAAATATAAAATTAATTTTTAGAATAATATAAAAAATAAAAAATAGGTATTTGATTTGATATTTTTGAAGGAGAAATATAAGATAAACAGTGGATTTAAAATCCAATCCCTCAAACAATATATACACGGTTTCACAAAAGAACTAACTTAACAAATTCAACTAATGGATTAAAGGTCAGGGCTTGGATTTGGTAATATAGATTTGACTATGGGTTATAAGGGATTGAGCCGAATTATTTTCGAAAAAATGGTTGAGTTAGGCTTACAACCAAAATTTTCAATAATTTATTTATTTATTATTTAAATTTAAAAAGAATACACTTCTTGGTCCTAGTTATATGTATATTTTTCAAAAACATTTTTTAGGTCTCATCTAAATATATATATATATGATCATATGTTAATATAAAAACTTATTTAATTTTTTTTACATAGATTATATTTTATAGTACTTCATCAAATATATGCTCATTTGGATTGAATATAAATTTTAGCTAATATAATATTATATTAATTGATTGTGATATAAAATAAGAATATTTTAAAGAATATATAAATAAATAATAAAGTGAAAAAAAAATTAGATAAATTGTGTGAAATAATTGTAGTATATTATAAATAAGTATAATATTAAAAAATAAAAAGTTAAAGAAAGTATTTATGAGTTTTCTTTTTGTATATTATAAAAAGTACATTTTTTATGTTAGACAAACAAAAAAGAAAAAATATATATATATATGATGAACAAATAAAATATTAGATATTAGTATTTTCTTTGTACATTGGTACAAGCTATAGAATTGTTAAAATCTTCCTACACATTTTTATTTACAAATAAAGTATTATTATTTTTTAATTTATTAAAAATAAAATAAAATTAAGGACTACATATGAGTGGCGGAAGAAGTTTTTCTATTTATATTCATTGCTTTCTTTAAAAAAATGATACTATTATTTATCAATTATATTAGATATTTATTTTCTTTTACAAATTTATCTTTTTGTGTGTCTATTAAATAAATTTGAGGAGTCCTTTCATTACACTTACTAAAAATATATCGGTTAAATTAAAATTAACGATGTTATTTGGTAGCTAAAATACCGTATTAATAATTTATAATAGACATTACATAATATAACGATAGACATAGTACAATTTATTATTTTATATAGAGAAACTTTGTTTATCCACACCATGATAAAAATTACTGTGGTGACAATACACCATATTATAACGGACAATACATAAAAGAGTCGACAGTTGGAGATCAAGAAAAAATAAAAAATAAATTCATGTCACCTTTAAAGTTTTTTTGTCCAATTTGACATGATATCTCTATTAAATTTTATGTCTATGTGAGATGTCGATACTTGTTTTGATATTTAGAGCGAGTTTCTTTACTATTTATACTTTTAGATATTTCTATTGTAAGGTCCGAACAACTATTAAAATATTATAAAAATAATATTTTATTTATTTTTATTGTTACGTGTATATACTGTATTCTTTTGTTAATATTTTTGTAAAATTATGTATCTTTAAAATTATATTTGAAAGTATAAAAAAATTGTCAAATTTTAATATTTTATTTTTAATAAAATCAAGCGTGTTCTCCGTACCAACACCGTTTCAGAGCCAATTTTATTTAACTAGATATTTTTTTTACATTTTTGGGACTTTTCATTTTATTTTGCTTTTTCATTTAGTTAACTAAACATATAGTTCAATTCTTCCGGGCATCAATAATTCTACATCGCTATTAAGTTAGGTAGAAACAATTAGCCAAAACATATTCTTAAATTAAATACATCAAAAGAACAACATTTATAAAATCTTTTTATTAAATGCATTGCGTAAATTTGCAAGAAAAATAAAATCATATTGTCGGAATCTTACAAAGCATGCCATAATCCACACAAGTTTCTCTACTCTTCAGGCAATCTAAATTCATCGAGTCCAGATTTTTCAATGGGTCGCTGAGTGAACTTTATTATATAATCTCTCACGGTGAACTCTTTGTATCGCGGTTGCTTATTGGGTAAGGGAGCATATATTTTTCCCGACCTACTCTCACCACTGAAGAATGATGCAACCGATATTCTTGGCCCAATTTTGTTAGCAATTACTCTATGATCTGCGCTAATGAACTCGTCGTTTGAAATTATTTGCAACATGTCGCCAATGTTGACAACCAAGCTTCCAGACACGGGTTGAACATTTATGTATTTTTTGTCGTGGAGGACTTGGAGACCGCCAAGTTGATCTTGTAAGAGAATTGTTAAAAACGAGGGATCGGTATGTGAGCTTGTCCCTAATGTGAATTCGGGTTCAGGACAGGGCGGGTAGTAGTGGCAAAGGACAACGCGCCCTTGATTGCATCCTAGAGCTCCTAGGTGGCCTCGTTCGAGACCTAGAGCTTCGGACAAGAGTTCGAATAAAATATCTGCTAATTTTTTTACATGATCGATATAATCGAGGGTTGAATCTCTGAAAATTATAAATAATATATTGTAAGAATATTTAAATAATTGACTTGGCATATGAAATATAGAAAGAAAATTTATGGATAAAGTGATGGGTAATACATAATCAAATGAATAAAGATAAAATAGCTAATATGTAAAGATAAAAGAATAAAATAGCTATTATGTAAAGATTAAAAAAATTAAATAAAAATTGGGAGATACTTTATAGGTAACAGTTGTTCATTTGTGTCTTTATTATTTGTTTTAATTTTAAATGTTGATGATTTTTAGGTAAAAATAATTATTAAATACAAATGATGTATGTTATATTTCCTAGGTCTATATATAGTTTATGTATCTACTTGACCATTTTTAGTTGTTTAAAAAAAAACATTATCTTTTTTTTCAAAATAAATATATCTATTTTATCTTTATAATATGTCCAAGATCAATATATTTAAAAATGTCCTTTAACTACTATTCAAAATATCCCTAAAGTAAACTAATATATATTCATTTTTCTATTATATACTATATACATATAAATAGATACATTGACACAGATAAATTAAAATCAAAATTAAAAAAATTAAGTAGTTTCTTAAATTTTTGTTAAATAATAAAAATGTAATTATTTATTTATACAAATATATATTTAATAAATATTTTTCGTAAGATTTTATCTCAAATAAATATTGAAACAATTTATCAGTATATTTATAATGGAGCATAATACTCTTTTTTATTATTTATTTGTAAGTTCACGAAATTAATTTAGTACAATTTTTAATTAAAATATATTAATTTTTTTTTATAAAATATTATATCAAACTATTTAAATAAAAATTCAAATCAATATATTATTTCAAATCAATTACAAACTTTAACCAATCAATCTAGGCATATTTTTTTTTTTTGGATGAATTTGAAAAAAATTATTTAAATTTGATATTAAGATAATATTCCCTCCGTCCCAATTAAATTGTCCTACTTAGGTTTAAATATTATGTAATTAATAAATAATTAAAAATATATTAGTAAAAATAATTATTATTTAATAAAAATAATTATAAAATAAGATTAAAATAACTAAAGAATTTAATTAAAATAAAAAAATTATAAATTATAAAAGTTAAAATGTAATTAAAATGTACAATTATATTTTTTTTTAAAAAAAATAAACAAATTATGTGAAATAAACGATATGAGATAAATTAAATGAAATTGAAGAAATATTTAATAAAATATTTTTAAAAAATACATAATATAGTAAAATAAAAAAATAAAAAAAAATTAGGAAACAATCACGGTATGTTACCTGCAAACTTGGGGCAAGAGATGGGGCTGGATCTGATCGGACATGGTCAACGATACGGTCAACGTGTCCCTCCAATTGGCGGCTCGCGATCGATACAGATCTATGTTGCTCGAATACTTCACTTGCTGCATCATATCCCGTGAGTGAAGCGCCGTCTTCTTCTCCGTCTCCTGCTCGTGGAACTCCCGGACTCCGCCCAGCATAAGCTCCAGGACCTCCGCCGGAATTCCGTGGTTCACCACCTGGAAGAATCCCCACTCCCTCGACGCCTCTCCCACGTCGCTCACGATTTTCCGGCGCCGATCGGATTCGATTCCGGTCAGGTCGATCACCGGGACCTCCCAATCGCCGCCCTGGATGGGGTCGCCGGCGCGATCTTCCGGCGGCCTGATGAAGATTCTCGGGACGGTTTGGATGCCGGAATCGACTAGGCCTTTGACGCCGGCCTTGGATTTCTCGAAGGCCTGGAGCTCGGCTAGTCGGCCGGAGTCAACGGCGGCGGCGGCGGGGGTCGGCAAGAACTCTTTTAGACTGGATAAATTCATTTTGGTTACGGAGAAATTAAGAAGAGGGGGCGTGTTTCGTTTCTTTTTTAGACTGTGGAGAGTCGTTTATTTGGTTTTGATTTTTATTTTTATTTAAAAATATTACACTCCACGGTCCCACCTATATTTATTTATTATTTTAATTATTTTTATGTCTCATCCAAATATATAAGGTATGTTTTTTGTTTTTGTGGTTTTTTTTTTTTTTTTTTTTTTTTATGAATTTAGAAAAAAAATGGTTTAAATTTGATATTAAAATAAGTATATAATGTGGTGTTTTATGAGAAAAAAATAAGAGTTTTTTTTCAAAAAAATGCTAAATCCAAGTAGTAAAAATTTATGATTTATAGCCGAAAGAAACAAATTCATATCTCGGTAGGAGAATTTTGGGAGTTATAAAAATTTGAAAATATAAAAAATTAGTATTTAATATTATATTTTATAAAAAAAAATATATTTGATGAATATTTTTAAAAAATAAATAATGCTAAAATATATGTATAAATAAAGTCATAAAGATTATATATATATTTTTTATGACGTGGAAATCTGCAGCAAATAAAATGTGCACTAGGTAAAGCCATAAAGATTATACTTAAATCCATTACAAACATGGTACTTCTTCTTTTCATTATTCATTATTAAATATATGTTTTTTTGAGTTACAAAGATTTTACTAAATATAATATTATAGTAGTTGATTATTGTTGGGAGTCTTGGTTGTTCAAAATTTAATCCAATGGTCCTTCAATAATATATTACTTGGTCCAACCCTTAGCCCGACCCATCAATCGGCTCAATCATTATCCAAAACTAATTACCTAGCCCATTTCTCTTTAACAAAAACACTAGTGTGTTAGGGGTGTTTAGTACAAAAAATAAAATTGGAAGAGAAATGATAGTCGAGGATATAATTAATTCTATTGTTCGGTAAAATACAAAATTTGATTGAGAAATGTAAAAAAAAAATATAACTATTTGAATGGATTATATTGAGCAATAATAAACGATTAACTGGCGAGAAAAAAATTAACGAGTGAGAAGTCATAAATAAGTATTTTTATTTAAATAATAAATTAGATACGAATGTTTTGTAAGATCAAAATTTAGTGTAATTTTTTTAAAAATAGTAAAAAAAATAAATATTTAAGTAATAAATTAAATATAATGTTTTACAAAATTGAAATAATATAATTTTAAAAATATAAAAATTAAATAATACAAAAAATATAAAAGAATAAAATAAATATACTGCATTAATATACAATTCTTTGTAAAGAAATAAAATACAGAGAATGAGAAATAATTTATTTCTTAACTCTCAATTTTCTAGCTCAACCAAACAAGAAAAATGAAATTATTTCTATTTCTTTGACTTCATTTCTAGTATCAAATACTCTTAAAATATTGTCCATAACCGTGTATATCTAATTAGATATAGAGTGAGATTGGGTTTTTGGCGGGAGAGTTAGTTTGACCATATAGAAACCGTGAGAGAGGATTTGGGGAAAAAGAGATAAGCCGATTAGAGAGAGGGTTGAGACCAGTCTTCCGGTGAGTGTATAAACCTTTTCGATGGTCAATTCTGATGGGTGCTGAAGTTTAGAGTAAAGTGTCGACCTCCATCTTGAGACGTGGTTACCTCGGGTCATTTTCACACTATGGACTGAGCCGATAAGAAATGTTCCTTAACCTCCGGTGGAAGATCGATGGAAGGAAGAAGTCGATCGGAAGTTTTTATTGTTGTCATAATGAGGAGTCCCGGAGAAGACATTCTGTCCATCGCCAGTGTGACATTGTCCGATCCGATCTGTTCAACTGGGAGATGATGGCCGGAGCCGTCACCGCCGCACATCGCTGCTGTGCTTTGATAGACACATTTCATAATCTATTTGTATATATTTTTGGCTTTAAATATTTGTTTCGACAATAAATTCTACTTAAAATGCTATATTTTGTATTAAGTGCATAATATTGTAAAAGTAGACAATATTGTCAAAAGAAGGAAAAGATTGAAATTTAATCATTGGGACAAAAAGTCAAATTATGGCAGTAATTGGAAAAAGTTATGAGATATGGATGAAGATTACAAAATAAAAAGATTATAATTTTTTGGGATATAAAAGGAGAAGTGGCGCCACTTTTGAGGACAACAAGAGAAAACAAGAAAATACAGTACATAACAGTTCCCGAGAAAGATCGCAAGACGCAGGAGGCAAGGACGAGAAGGATTAAAGAAGACTTTGATTTTTTCCCCTACCGATCGATCATTTTTAGACTATATCTACTTTCTTTATTGTTTTTGTTTTCTTCCCTATGATTAGCGGGTAAATGTATATTTCCTAGTTTAGGAGTGAAAAACAATTTGGTAAGAATTTGTGAGATTAGACTTGTTTTGATTTACGATATTTCTTTAATTTCTAAGTATTTATGTGATTTCTAATTTCTTTGATATATAATCTTTATTGTAGTTATGTATTTTGGCTGGATATTTCAATTGAGTTAAAGATTGACTGCTAAACTAAATTAAGCGTCCGTAATTGTGTTAGAATTTGGTTCGAGTAGCAACAAGGGGAAGACACCACTAAGAAATCACATAATCAATTTTAAACAATTCACATAGGTAATTGTTAAATTGAATTAGGCTATTCTAGTTCGCAAAACAGTTAGGCTAGTAAATTTTTTTGTGGCGTCACTAAGGTTCTAGTCTAATTAGAGAACCAGTTAATGGGCGTACCTAGTCTGTCGAGAAATTAAGGAAGAGTTGGTTATTATGCGTGTGTCGGTAACTATAACTAATTTACTTAAAAACCAATGAAATTAAATATTTATCGATGATCAAGTTCAAAATTCAAATTGTCAATTTCATTCATAGGCTAGGAGTTTGTCTTTATTGAAGTTCAATCATAAAATTTTCCGTAAATTTTTGCTTTGCTAGTTTCATTCTCGTTTAGTTTAGTTTAATTTCACTTTCTTCAAAACCCCCTCCCCCCTTTATTATTGAATAATTGAAGATAAATACCTTTTGAGTTCCTTGAGGAGACGACTCTACTCCAACTATATTACTTTATTTTTATAGTGGAAGTAGATATATTTTATTTAATTTTGCAGAGCGTTGCTGGGTTTGAGTTCTTTCTACGTGTAGGAGTCCCAACAATTCAAGTTAGTCCAAAAGAGTTAAGAGTCCACTCTTGCCAATTGTTGCCCTAACCGTCATAGTTGAGAGATGTGTCAATTGGGTGCAAGGGTTTGAGAGAGACAATTGTTATCCACACACGCGAGAGAATCAACAAGCAGAAAGAATTTCTTCAACTCGGTTCCGATCAACGGTCCCCGTCATCTTCGGATGTTCCTTTTTTGGTATCGTTGATTTCTCACTATTTGTTTGGATTCGGTTTTTAATCTTATTGGTTGGTAATTGGAACGAGTTGTTTGTAGTTGAGAGATCTCTTGTGGTTGGGGTTCGATTCTTATAATTGGGTGTGGAGTTTGATAGCCATTTTGGTTGTGGTTATCTTTGATTGTACGAACCTTTTGATATAGTAGATTTTGCCTTGGATCGGGTGATAGGCCTCGTGGTTTTTATCCTTCACTTTGAAGGAGTTTTCCACGTTAAAAGTTTTGGTGTCTCGTATTGTTATTTCCGTTGTTTATTGGTGGTTATCATTCATTTTCTTTTGGTAGAAAAAATAATTGATTGAAGGCAAAGGATTTGGTGCAACAGTTTGAACACACTGCTTAGGCGTGACCACGCTTAAGGAGTACATCGAATCTGATTTTGGCTTACATTTTTGGCCTTCTTCCGGTATTCTCCCAACAAGCGTGACAAACACAGTCACGCTTGGAGGAGCAAAGCCGTCGATCGTCTTCATCGGATCTGGAGTTTCCCAATTATCAGAGAGAAAGTCGAACAAGGAAATAATTGATTTGGAGTCTTGTTTGCTTGATTTCATTTATCAATTTGGTGGCCTGTTTGTTTGTGTTTTCTTTTTTGATTTCCAGAAATCTTTTTTGCCTTTTGTTAATTGTGTTCATTTTAATTTTGTTCGGTATAATAATTTGGGTTTATTCAATTCTTTTGCTAATTCATTCGGATATTTTTATATTTGCATGCGGTGTATTATTCGAATAAAATCCATCGATCCGGGAACAATTAAAGAGTGTGTAATAATTGTGACGTACTTATAAATAAATATAACATTGAGTGAACAATTAAAAATTTGTAAATTTTTTTTTATTATAAATACAAATATGTCTTATATGGACAAAATAAAAAGAAAACCAAGTATATATTTGGTAGACGGACGAAGACGGCAGTTAGCCTGCCGATTTCCGTTGGATTGCATTTTAATCTTATAGTTAAAATTAAATAGAAAGTATTGTAATATTATTACAGGAATAACCAATAGAAATATTAATTATCTCTACCACTAACCACTATTTTATATTTTGTATTATATTATATATTGTATATAATATATAAGTAAGTACATATATATATATATGTATATACGTGTATGTGCAGCCGTGTGTATGTGTGTTGTATAATATATAGATGTATGTATGTAGTATGTATGTATGCTAGTGTATATATTATATTATATAATATATATGTATGTGTGTACGCTATGAGGATTTATGTGATGGTGGAAATATTAATGAGGAAGAGAGAGGGAGAGTAAAAGATAGAAATTGATAGAGTAAAAAATGAAGGTGGTCTTTATTTCATCAATTCAACCCATATTTCTATTACAAGATTGAGTGAGTAAGAGGATATGCATGACCCACGTGGCATCCACGATATTGTGCACAAAGCACTACGTGTACAATAGAAAGGTATATATATAATTTTTTTTCTTTCTTTTCTTCAAGCCGCTTTTCAACTTTCTCAAATTCATGGCATATAAATTATTTATTTTTTCACCTATTCAAGATTTTTTAGTAGCAATTATATCCATAAGCTTGGTGTTATATTTATCTAATTTGAATTTTACCACATAATTTTTACATGCGACACTGATTATTTTAATAAGAAATTTTGCAATCGTCCATGACAAATATAGTATTGAAGTGAGTTTCTGGAAAGTTTTCCGATGGCGAACAGAAGACTGATGATGTCGTCGTGGTTGTCGTCGTCTTCCTCTTGGGCCAGTACTTTCTGGTTATTAACATAACTATAGAAAGAACATTGTTATTGCATAATAAGAGCATGAAATATATACATAAAAATACTATTTCTTTCGTCCCACATAAAATATTCATTTTTTTTCATTTCCGTCAATTCCACATAATTTGTCATTTCATTTTTTGGAAAAATGATTATACATTTTAATCACATTTAGATTTCAAAATTTAGAATTTTCTTAATCTTAATTAAATTATTTGGTCATCTTAATCTTGATCTATAATTATTTTTATTATACAATAATTATTTTTATTAATATTTTTTTAATTACTTACTAATTATATTTTTTTCTATATTCTCGTGTCTACAATAACATAGACATATTTTATGGGACGGCGGGAGTATCTTTTTATTTGCATATGCTCTTCTTATGTTGGTATCTATAAGAACAATGTAATTGCATAACTAGATTATAAAATATACATTCAAAAAGTACAACTTATTATATCCATAGACTCTTCTCGCGCTCTAACTCACACCAAAAGAAAATTAATTATTATGTTGATTTTATATAAGAGCATTGTAATTACATAATTAGAACACAAACATATACTAAGAAAGTATATATTATTATTTGCATAGGCTTTTTTTGTACTTTAGATAATCAAAGTCTGTGCTCTTGGCCAAAAAAAAAAACTTAATTATGTTGTTTTTTTTTTTTTTTTTCAATAAGAGCAATGTGATTGTATAGTTATAATATGAAATATATTTTTAAAAAGCACCTCGTTATTTTTGTATGGAGTCTTATTGTGCTCTTTTCGTATTAGGGTTTGTATTTTCGCTACAATCGAATTAATTATATTGATTTTTTATAAGAACACTGTGATTGAATGATAAGAGTATTAAATATACACTTAGAAAGCACAATATTATTGTTTCTATATAACAACATTGTACTCTTTTACATCGGGTATTTGCTACTGTTTAATTAACATTTTAAGGTGTATAATAAAATTATAAAATTTGCATTATTCATTATTGCTCATGTGAAATGATAATATTAAAATCTAACGGCTAATATTTAATCAGCATGATTATAACAAAGACGACGGAAGACATATTAGATATTATTAATTATACATAGAATAATATTAATAAATTTGTTAAAGTCTTAGTAGATATTATTATTATTATTAACAAATAAATTGTTATTATCTTTCTAATTTTCTATATAAAAAAATAAAATATATTAGTAAAAATTAAGGTGTACATACGAGTAGTTCTATTTACATTCATTATTTTAAAGAAAATGATATTATCTCCGTCCGACTCTAAAATTTTTATTTATTTTTTGTATATTGATATTTGAATATTAATTATTATATCAAAATATAGTACAAATTAAGAAAAAATTACAAAAATACTTCTAATAGTGTCTTATATCAAATTAAGAGTCTCATTCGTCAGCTTCTAAGGGTTCCATTTACTTTTTGCGTATTAATTTTTGAATATTAGTAGTACAAATTAAGAAAAAGATAAAAATACTTCTATTAGTGTCTTATAATACTATTATAATAACATTTGTGAAAAAAATTATATAAATATAAGGATATTTTTAATGTTAAGTATAATGACATAAAAAGTAAATGATACTCTTAGAGTCGGACGGATGGATGGAGTACAATTCTTTATCTTAAATATTACTTCAGTTGTATCATTTTTTTTTTTTTTTTTTTTTCAAGATATATTATACTGTAATGTCAAAAAAGAATCAAAGAAGACACGAAGGTTTCAAATTGAACTGACAAATTGATTCTTACAATTTTTTTCTTCACACAAACAAAAAAAGCCAAACTACCTGTTCATATAAAAAATTGGATATAAACAGTTCAATTTATATTGAAACTAAAATATAATAATAATAATAATAATAATAATAATAATAATAATAATAATAATAAAATCTGACAGTAATTTTGCGAGGAATCTAAAAGCTATTTCTGTCACTAGTCATGAACGACTTTATAACAAAACATTTTTTCAATAAAAATAAATAAACACGTGAAAAATCTGGTCTATCGTAAAATATTAATGCAAAGGATGACATGTAAGGTCTAAAAATCCTCAATAAATATGGAAGATTTTATCCTTCATTCATAACCATAAAAAAAATAAAAAGAAAAAAGAAAAAAGAATGGAAGCTCAGACTCAGATCCCCGACGACAGGATGGAACTTCTCCGGAAATTCGACAACACAAAAGCCGGTGTCAAAGGCCTGTCCGATTCCGGAATCCTCAAACTTCCCCGGATCTTTGTCAGGCTGCCGGAGGACCTCTCCAAAGATCTCTTGTGCAACAATTCCCCAATCCAGGTCCCCGTCATCGACATGGCCGATTTCCAGGCCGACGCAGGGCGGCGCCGCCGTATAGTTGACCAGGTGAGGACTGCGTCGGAAACCTGGGGATTTTTCAAGGTGGTGAATCACGGAATTCCTCAGAGCGTGCTTGATGAGGTCATCAATGGCGTCCGTGACTTCCACGAGCAAGACTTGGAGAAGAAGAAGATGTATTACACGCGCGATCCCAATAAGGCACTGAAAATATGCTGTAACTATGATTTATTTGCGTCGAAGACCGCCGGCTGGAGGGATACTTTGAGTGTATCTTTTCCGGGCTTCGATTCCGACATTCACAGCCATGAATTGTTTCCTTCCTTCAGGTTTCATCTCTTCAATTTCTGCAATTTTATGCACATTATGTTAGCTAGCTTGGAAAAACAAAAAATCCCTCATTTGAAATACTCACTCGGTCCGGAAAAATTAGCCCGGACTCGACATATAAATTAAAAAAAATAAATATTTTATGAAAAAAGTGAAAAATAGTAAAAAGATAGTTGATGGTATTTTTGAAAATTTAGTTAATAATTAAAGAGAATAAATAGATAATATAATAAAGTTATTGTAAATAAGCAACGAAAAAGGAAATAGAAAATAAATTTAGCGGACACGGCATACATTTTTCGAAAATTTGATCTAAATTGTATTTTCATTAGAGGTTATTTTAACTTTCGCCAAATCTTATGAATTTCTTCCATAATTAAATACTAGCATCTCTAAAATAAATCCAAATTTTTTTATAAATATTTTAATTACCTTTTTAGTGCTGCACCTAAACAAAAAAAAAAAAGTAGAAAGTTGTTGTTGTGTTATTTGAAAACTTGTGAGTGTGTTGTATTTACATACATTTCAATATTTAAATTGTTGTCAGCATCATGCTGAATAATTTTGTTCAAAGTACAAACAATCTATATCTTAATTATGTATATATATTTTTTATTCTTTTACTTTTAATTAGCTTTTTTAAATAGCATATTTCTATATTTTTTTTTTATTACTTTATTAATTCTATTTAAAATGATAACATTCTAAATTATAAATAACAAAAAAAATGTGGGATGGATGTAGAATAACATTGGATCTCTTCCTATTATGGAGTTCATCTTCTTTGTTTGGATTTTTACAAGAAAGTTTCTAATTTTTCAGTGATTATACAATTTTTTTTTTTTAAGAAACTTACTTTACTTGCAGCAAATCAACTCTAGAATACTCTAAACTCGTCGAATCTCTTGGAAATGTATTGCTCGGGTTGTTGTCAGAGGCTCTCGGACTCGAAACAGAACACTTAGAAAGAATGGAATGCTCTAATGGATACCGCCTCCATTGCCACTACTATCCGGCATGCCCCGAGCCACACCTAGCAAACGGGACAGCTCAACATTGGGACGCTGGATTCCTCACAATCCTCTTACAAAATCAAATTACGAGTGGCCTCCAAGTTCAGTACGAGGGCCAATGGATCGACATTGAGCCCACTCCCGGTTGCCTAGTTATAAACATTGGTGATCTCCTCCAGGTAATATCTATAAAGATAAGTATATTTGAACAGAGTGATGTTGACTTGTGCGAACTATTTTTGTTGATCTTTTGTCCGAATTTTTTTCAGTTAGTATCCAATGGAAAATTCAAGAGTAATCGACATAGAGCAGTTGCAAATGATGTCGGGCCAAGAATTTCAATTGCGTGTTTCTTCTCAGGGCCATTGATGAATGGTAAAAAAATTTATAGACCGATTGAAGAGTTGATAAGTAATGAGAATCCGATTGCATATAAAGAGATTGTTTTAGGTGAATATGTCAAGAGTTTCATTTTCACTAGTTGGGAAAGTTTTCGTGTTCTTGATTGCTATAAGTTGTAACCATTTGTAAGCAGTGACGGAACCAGCTTTGCGGCTCCGGGGGTGCAAAATTGTTATGTTTATTTGTTTTATTTTTTATTTACCGTTTATGTTTAGTTTTAACATATTTCGAGCCTGTTTTTTTTATTTGAAATAGACATTCGGTTGTCTCTGTGTGTACAAAAATAATATAAGAACTTTTTCATCGACTCATTTCTACTAACTTGATGTCATCTTAATTTTTTCAATTTTTATTAACACTATAATGTGGTTGTGAAAAAGAAAAAAAATGAAAAAAAAAAAATATTTAAGATAAAATATTTTATTTTTTATATAATAAATTTATAAATAAAAATATTATATATTATTATAAATTAAAATAATAATAATAGGGAGGTTTATATAGAATATTACTCTCAAATTGGAGGACAAATTTGATTACTAAATAAAAAATTAGATAAAATTACACTTAAAAAAAAATTGGAAAGGATTTGGAGGATTAGTTGACCTCCCAAGCCCCAATGTAAATCCGTTACTGATTGTTACGTCTTCAAAGCAATGCTTTATACATATGTTGCATGTAATATCAAAATGAGAATAAATGGGCATGTAACATAAGGATTTTTAATACTCCTTCCGTGTTATAAGAGGGATACCATTTTTCAATTTTGTTCGTCCTTAAAAAAGATATTATTTCCTAATTTAATAATTTATTATCTGCCTAACATAATTAATACCCTTACGACTTATAATATATTACACAAATGTCATTACTTTTTTATCACACAATCAATAGGGGCATTTTTGTTTTTTCTACTATAAATCAATATAAAACTAATATTAAAAAATCTCGGTGCAAAAACTAAATGATATTACTTTTTTTTAGGATGGAGGTAGTATAATATAACTCAAGGTGATGAGATTGTATAAAATTATAAGATTAAATAATATTATGATTCCCAATAAAATAAAAAAAAAACAGAAAAATTGTACACAGTGTTACAAACATAAAATAATTCTTAAAAAGTAATAAAATAATTAAGGAGATTATATAGTTTTTCTTTAAAGAAAAAAAAAATTATAGGCTTAAAAACTGTAAATTTTTTATTATATTAAAATTTTAAATTATCATATAAATATATATATATATATTTTATAAAATATTACGTCAAAATACTGATATTTTACTAATTTAATATTTTGAAAAACTCCCAAAAGTCTCTTTATAGGATGGCTATCATATTGAGTAGTTTTTAAGGGTGAGATACGGTCAACGATAATTTGATCCCCATCTAAATCTACATCTACATCCAACTTAATATTGGGGACGGCTTCTGGCTCAGAAGTTAGGCTGAACAAATTGCTACGTGGATGAAAACAAAAACAAATACGCCCTTAACTTCTGTTTAGCAGTAAGATTTTATTTATGATTTTACTATTTTATTTTATTTTTTTTAAAATAATATCAAATTAAAAATTCAATTTTTATTTATTTTATTACACTAAAATTTAATTTTATATTCAAAATATTACATCAATACATATTTATACATCAAACAACTATTTCAATTCAAAATTTTACTATTCAAGATCAAAAGCGACAACCAAAACATCACAAGTAAATTGTTTATCATATTTTTAACATGGCTTCCTTATCATATCAGTTATACTAGTATTAAATTATTTTTTATGCAGAGTTTAAAAAATAATAATACTTTAATAGTATAAAGATGTTTTATCTTTATTTCTTTTGAAAAAACAATAATGTGATTATAAAATAAAAATATTTGTAAAATAAAATGAGATTCATAATTACTAAAAAATGATTATTTTGTAATTATACAATTCAAAATAATACTCAATCTATCCTAGTTTATATTTTTAACTATTTTTGTTTATCTCACTCAAAAGTATCATTTTTCATTTTTAGTAAAAATAATTATATACTAATATCAAAATACTTTTAATTTTTATTAAAATTAAAAATATACCATTGCACATAAAATTACTTTATACAAAAAGTCAAAGAGCAAAAATATCAAAAACTCTTATACATTTCCACTAACAAAAAAAAATATATTATTATTTCTTAATCTATTATAAATAAAAATATTAAATTTTTTTTATTTTATTAAAAAAAAAAAAAAACCTTAAAATCATTAAAGATGAAGAGTTTTGCTTTACCTAGATGAAGAGTTTTGCTCTACCTTATTTTAAATAAAAATTAGGGTAAACTGTTTTTTTTCTAGTCCTGTGACTAAATCCCTTTTATCATTTTAGTTTTATAACGGGAGGCTGTTTTAAACTAGTTCTATAAGTGAAAGTTTTTTTTTAAATTTAGTCCTCAATCCCTAGGTGGCATCTGCGTGACAGACTGACGGACACGTGTCGGCCAGATCACCGCCGCGTAGATTAAATTTATTTTTATTTTATAAAATTAAAATTAAAATTAAAATATAAAAATAAAAATAAAAATAAAAGTTAAATTAATAAAAAATAAAATTATTCATACGTACGTCAAGTCAGCACTATGTGACTTTTAATAATTTATATATTATTATATTTTTTAATTATATCTTTATATTAAAATTTTAATATAAAAAATATAAATTACCACGTAGCGGCCACGTGACACTGATCTGACGGACATTGGATAATTTTTATATTTTTATTTTAGTTTTTATATTTTTATTTTTTTATATTTCTAATTTTTTTATATATTTTATATATTTAATTTAATATTTATTTATTTTTTATTAAAAATAATTTTTTTAAAAAAAATTATCCACGTGGCAGACACATGTTAGCCACGTGGCGCTAATCTGACCGACATGTGTCTGCCAGTCTGCCATGCAGATGCCACCTAAGGACCGAAGACTAAATTAAGAAAAAATTTTACTTACGGGACTAGTTTAAAACAACCTCCAATTACATAACTAAAATGATAAATGAGTCCAATTACGGGACTAAACATCACTGTTAAGAACAACCGAGATCAGTTTACCCTAAAAATTGCTATTAGTCAATCTACTTAATTTCTAATAAAAATACTAAAACATTTTCACAAAATTTTAAATTAAAATACTTTTTTTTTTTAAATAAAAATTTAAATTACAAATTCAAACTCAAATCAAAGTAAAACCAAACAAACTTATGTTTAAAAAGTTTCAAAAAATAATATTTTAATCAATAATAATAATAATAATAATAATAATGGTGTGTTCACATTTATATTATTTATATCAATACCATCGTATTAATCGTTGAAATGTGACTTGGATTTAGCGGTCTACCCGATCCAAAACAAAAGTGAAAGGACTGTTTCAATTGACAGAGTTCCTTTTGGGCTTATCCTAATTAATAACAAATAGGCTTAGGGTTTAGGGTGTTTTGAGTTGCTTATTAATAGATAGTTATGGTTCCTAGTAGTATGACATAATTGTAACTCTCTGAATCAGTATAATAAAATATCTTTGGTTTCTACCTGTGGACGTAGGTTGACACACCGTCACCGAATCATGTAAAATCTCTGTGTTCTTTATTTGCTTTCTTTCTCGTTTTTTCATAACAAGTGGTATCAGAGTCATATCTGACAGATTGAAGATATCCTCGTATAAGTTTGATCTAGAGAAGTTTAATGGGTTGAATGACTTTACACTCTTGAAGGTCAAGATGAGGGCACTTCTGGTTCAACAAGGATGTGCGGCTGTGTTGGAGGGAGAAGACAAGTTTCCTAAAGACACAAATGAAGAGATAAATAAGGAGATTTTGGCAATGGCTCATTCCGCGATCTTGCTGTCAGTTACTGATGAGGTGTTACGAGAGGTTGTAGATCAGACGACGGCTTTTGGGCTATGGAATAAACTGTGTAAGAAGTACCAGAATAACTCTATCACGAACAGGCTATATCAAAGCAAAGTCTTTGCACTTTCCGGATATCCAAAAGTACTCAGATAAAAGATCATCTTGATACCTTTAACCGTATTATTCTTGATCTTCAAGGGGTTAAGGTTAAAATTGATGATGAAGATCAAACCTTAATTTTACTGTGTTCACTACCTGGTTCATATAAGAGTTTTGTAGATACTATGCTATATGGTATAACTACAATTTCTGTTAATGATGTGAAAGATGCCTTTATATCCAGAGAATTGAATAGAAATGTTTATCTGGAAGAGGGTTATAGTTCAGGTCTGTTTGCAGGTAGGGGAAGACCACATGAGAGAGGTAATGAGAATGTGATTTTGTGTTCAAAATCAAAATCCTCTAGAAAAGCTAAGTGTTATCTTTGTAAGGAGAAACGGCACATTAAAAAGGATTGTCTACAGAAGAAGGGAAATACAAAAGTTGATTATAGTAACAGTGGCAGCAGGGCTGCTGTGGTACAAGACAGTTCTGATGATGGGGACTTTGGTGAAGTTCTGACAGCGTGTAGTGCTAGTACTGCTGATTTCTAGATTATGGATACCGATGCTTCTCACCATATGACGTTCTCTCTTGATCTACTCATTTTTTTTAAGGAGTGGAATGGAACGGTGAAGTTAGGTGATGATTAGGTTTCAGCCATAAAGGGGAGCGAGATAGTGCAGATAAAATTGCGTGACGGTACTGTCAGAAAATTTGACTGTTGGTATGTTCCTGAACTCAGAAAAATTTTGATTTCTCTTGGCACCTTAGCCAAGAATAGTTTAAAATATAATGGTGAAGGTGAGTGGGTAAAAGTCTTGAAAGGTGCTCTGGTGATGATGAAGGGAAAACTGCAACATGAAATTTATTTTCTACAGGGCAGTTCAGTGGCGGAAACGGCAGCGGTATCCCAATATTTGGATAAACATGATGACAAGACAAATTTATGGCACCGTTGATTAGATCACATGAGTGAGCAAGGGTTGTCTGTGTTGAGCAAACAAGGTTTATTTGGGGAGAATGTAATAGGTAAAATTCAATTATGTAAGGCTTGTGTAAAAGGGAAGCAACGCAGGGTGAAGTTTATTACTGGTCATCACACTTCAAAAGAAATTCAAGAGTATGTTCATTCAGATTTATGGGGTCCCTCTCCGGTGAAATCGCAGGGCGGTTGTTCTTACTTTGTCACTTTCACAGATGATTATTCAAGAAAAGTCTGGTTTTACTTTATGAAGACTAAAGATGAGGTGTTTGGGAAGTTCAAGAAGTTGAAGACCATGGTTGAAAAACGGACGGGTAAACAAGTC